TGTTGTTTACGTACCTAGGAGTTGATGTTATTAGTCTTAAAATTTTGGATTGAAATGATTGTGTTTTTTGTAAGTGCATCCTTTTTTGTAAAAGATGCACTTTTTGTAAAAGTAAGTATAGTATTTTTAGTCAGTTGCTCAAAGTCTTTCGTTTCATTTTAACATGTGGGCCCCAGGTTCATCCTTCGGTTGAATATCAGCCTGAGATAACGTACAGTGTCCATCTGAAGTTGCCGATATAAATAGGTGATATAAATAGGTGTCTCGTCGAAGCGTAAATTTCAAATGTTGTGATTTGCCATGATTTAATCTAATTTTCCAAAGTGAATACCAATTGTGTAATTGTAGTAAGTTATTTTGTTAATTCAGTGAGACTAGTCTGGGGTCGTGATGTTTTCACAAAATTGTTGTATCGTCAGCGTAAGTGGCAATCAATGTTTCGGAGGTGTTAGGCATGTCATGCGTATTGATAATGTAAAGTAAAGGAGCCAATATTGACCCTTCGGGCACTCCTGCCAACACTGGTCGAATTGAGGAAGTTCCTAAGCCCTGTCGTGTCCGTCAGAAAAATCTGTCGAAAAGGAAATACTGAAGAATGAGATAGTATGTATGAGGAAGTATAGTTTTGGGTTTAAAGAGAAGTCCCTGGTGCCAGACTGTATCAAATGCCTGAGCAACATCCAGAAACACGCCGGTTGGATATTTATTTTGCTCTAGTGCTCCAGCAATCTAGTCAGTAACTCTGTGTAAATGCTGTGTAGTTTAATGAAATGTGCGAAAGCCAAACTGGTGGCCAGGTATTATCTGTCGGTCCGTTAGTATGTCAACCAATCTTTTTTATACTAATTTTTCGAAAAATTTGGAAAAAAGTGGAAGGATACTGATAGGTCGGTAGGATGAAGGATTGTAAATGTCTTTGTTGCTTTTGAGTATCATTTTAATAAATGAAAATTTTCATTGTAATGGGAATTTAGGTGTTCTCAGGATACAGTTGTATATTGTCGTAAGGAACCCTAATGCTTTCCTTGACATTTGCTGGAGCAACTCGGCAGACATTAAGTCATAACCTGGGGCTTTTCTTTTAGGTAATTGTTTGATTTGTTATGCAACTTGTGTAGGAGTGGACGAAAGAGGAGGTGGTGTCAACGGTAGTGGTATATAAAGAGTATTCAGTACTAAGGTGTCATGTTCTGTGTTCGTGAAGTCAGTAAGTGGTGTGAATACAGATGATAGATAGTCAGCAAATAGTTTATATTTTTCCCTATCCGATAAAGCCCATGAACCATCCTCTTTTCGCTGCAGTACTGACGCCTGTTGATGTTTCAACAAATTCTTGGTATGCTTCCACAAACTTCCATCGTCAGTCGATATGCGAAGCTCGCCATTATGTCGGTGTATCAGGTGATATAGTGTCTAATGAATGTTCATAGATAGCAGTCCTCAGATTTTGTCCTTTTAGTGCATAGCCGTGATCCCCAAAATTGGTGCTTCGTGTTCAAATCACCGCCTGCTATGAAGCAAAGCCCAAGGCTTTAAAAATAATTTCAAAATGTCGAAGATGTCAGTATGTACCTTGGAGGACAATATACTGAAGCTATAGTTATTGTGTTATGTTTGGTATGTAGTGTTAAGCCTGTGGTTTGTATGCCAGGTGTGGTGGGTAAGTATAACGGATTATGTGAGAGTGATGTCTTAATTAGTATAGCCGTACCACCATGAGCTGTGTTGTCCGGATGATCTGTTCTGTGCGTAATGTATCCTGGTATATGAAATTTAGTCCGTGTTGTTAAGTGTATTTCTGTTATCAATCACAGGAGGATGAGCAAGGAGTCTACAATCAGCTGATTTATGGCCATTTGGAAGACATATGCCGTGAATCACGTGGAGAAGGCTAAAGAGGGGCTGGATAAGAGTGTTCAGACCGTTTAATAATTGAAACAGTTGTGGTTTGATATATGCATCGGCTGAAGTGGGCTGGGTACTTTCTTCCCTCATGGCTGCCGAAGGTTGAATGTTTTGCGGTACTGTTTCGGACTGTTTACGTGCTGGCAGTTGAGGCTGCGCAATGCGATACTGGTGAGCTGGTTTTTCCTGCTGCTGCGAAAGCTTCTGCTTCTGCCCTTGATGTACATTCATAGAAGGGTTGTGGACGAACCGAGAAATCATGAAGACTAGATGAAGCAGCCGATGTCCTGTGGTGAACTTGATTTCTCAACGTCTTTTGGATTCTAAAATCTTGTAGTGTCTGGCACCCATGAAAGTTGGCCGGATGCTCGTCTTGGCAATTTGCCGGACTCTCCCGAGTTTTATTACATGTGGACCTATCGTGGCCTTGCCCACATTTGACGCACCGTGGTGAGTAGTTGCAGTACGATCTCGTGTGGCCGTAACTTAGGCACCTAACGCATTGCGGGATAATTTTCTTCTTCCGAGGTTTCTCAATCTTAACCCTCGTGTAAAATATTTTATTAATTTCAAAAAATTATCGTTATACGAGGACTTTGTTATGTCAACAAAAAACATTGGCAATGGCCGTTTGAATCGTGAAATTGCGTTAGTAATACTAATATTACTAATATTTTTATTTTTATATTATGTCAAATACATACTTTTCGCTTGTCGAAGTGTAGGAAACATAATATTTCTGTAGTCAGTTTATAATTTACGAGTCGGAAATGCTTACAATATTTACAACTAAAAAAAAATCTTCACGAGGATATCTTCTTTCAAACTTGACGGTACTTCAACACGTAGTAAGATACTATGCTGCAGGTGTTTTTCAGGATTCTCACCCTCCAGCTCCAGAGGATTTCTCCGATGGGTGATGATTTCCTCATAATTCGTTACTTTGACTTCTTCGATGTCTTTTACTGCATTGGATATGATGGCGAATAAACATTTTTTTCGGGATTCTTTTAACAATATTCCCAAATACCAATAGTTCTCTCTTATCAACGGCAATGATCTACTATGATTAAAGCAAATTGAATTGCTTCGCTTGTCACGAAGTAGAGTGTAATACTGGTCTCACGTATCAAAACTCTTCGAATTTCAGATTATCTTACTCATTCCACGCCATTATTTTCTTCAAATTATTTTAATACGCATATTAAAATTTTTCCATACGCACTCCAGAAATCCAATAAATTGTTTTCTTTGTGGAGTGATTAGTCCAAATTCGATCTGTCGATGTTGTTCCAAGACTTAAGAGTCATGTTTTGTGAATAGTTGACCGTTAATGTCACACTACTTTGATCACAGGCAAAGGCGGATCTATGGAAGGGGGAGGGGCTTTCGAGCTGAAGCTCCACTCCCAAATCGTAAAATATAACCAAGCCTTATGAAAAAGTATTAAAAAATTATCTTTAAAAGTATAATTGTTTGTGTAATTACAGTTAATAGGACTTCAAGAATCACTTATACACCATTTCATATAGTTTCTTTCTTTTTATTCCAAAAAAATTATCGTTTATATATATATATATATATATATATATATATATATATAAGCTTTCGGGCTAAAGCCCTCCCCCCAAAAACAAATAAATAATTAAAACTCTGCATCCGTTAGTGATCACAGGTAATATTAAAAATATTTTCATTAAAAAATATATGTATCCTTCAATATACAGTTCATGTTCTAAAAAGCAAAGATATAATAAAAATTTCCATTGAGAATATTATCAAAACAGTTAAACATTATAAAGATGTTTTTAATAAAATGTCTATAAGAATACATCGCAATGCTCTTTAAACTTTTCCGGTGGTCTGCAGCTAACCGTAATTACTTTGGTCTAGTAAAGGATTTTAGGAGCAGATATCTCTACAACAAAACAAACATTAGCCTCTATAAGACCTTCGTGTGTCCTGTTCTTACTTATGTGTCAGAAGCGTGGACCGAGTTCGAGGAGAAAAACTTGCAAAAAAGGAAGAATATGGAACTTTCTGCGTTGTATAATGACATTGATGTCAAGTTTATGGAGACTTCGATGGGTACGCCACCTGGTGAGGATGGATGATGAAAACCCGAAACTGGAAAGCTGCTGCAACAAACCGAGCTAACTGGTGAAGGATTTTAGAGTAGGCCCAATATTTTAGACTCGGTGACGAATCGTTGCGGCCACTATGATGATGATGATTTTTGTCCTGTAGATTAAGCAGAATATTATTTAAATTTACTTATATGTTTACATTTTAAAAATATGTTGGATAAAAATGTTTTATATATTTTTTTATTTCCAATCAGTTTGTCTACGAAAACTTTTACTCGTACACTGTGTGTTCATACATACTTCAAAACCTACAGGGACTTTTCATGAATCCAAATAGTCCTTGAATATACAGAATTATTTCGCTGTTTTACTTGACTAATGTAGCATAAAGCGTGCCTAAAATAGAAATTTACTTAACTTCGATAATCTAACGGTTGAACAGTGTCACTAAAGACAAGGCCGCACGATTTATCCTTTGAATTTTATACCATTAGAAATTTAGAAGCAGAGCTCGTTATTTGAAATTTCAATGAAGAAATACTGATAGGTTAAAAATATATACATTTTTATGAAAATCTCTATCCGATAAACAGTCAAGTATATTATTGAAGAGAATCGCGTGATAGTCAAGAAATAAAGACGGAAACCTACGCGAGGTTTTCATGAACCTGATAAAATGTTTGAAATTTAAAAGAAATAATAGTTTGTCTAAAAATATCTGTATTATAAAATGTTTAATAGTTTTTCACATTTCTTACTTAAATTTTATGACTTTCTAAATCATCTTTCTGAACCTCCCTCGAGCACTGTGTGAACTCCTTGGAATCGCTACTTCTGTTTTACTCAAAATGTTCTGTTAGTGTAGATGTTTATTTATTTGTTAGTTTGTAATGTAGCTGTTGACAGTTTATTATGTCTCTTTAAGGAGGCATTTATTTTTCTTCATCAATGATTCTAAATTGAAAGTTTTCTGTTTTTACTAGTCTCTCTTTTATATTTTCCATAAATATGACTGATAAAATTAAACAATCGCCGGTCATAGGCGCTAAGCCTGTGCCTATGAAGTTATTTGCTACTTGGGAAGTTGATAGGACTCCTCCGAACTGTATTCCTAGGCAAGTACCTAGTAAAATCAGATTTATGAAAATATAAGCAAATTATATTGTAGACAACCATGTTATAGCTCAGTTTTCTCATCACTTTGGCTATTTTTTAAAGTTATGTATTGTTTCAGACTTGGTTTGATCATGACTCAATCTCTATCCGTTTTTAGGGGGTTATAAACTTCTACAACAATATACAGAGGAAATATGCTAAATAATAAGGATCTACTAATTTACAATTAACTACTAACCACTACAGTGACAATTATTATTTTATTGCAATTGATACAAGTTTATAAAGTAATGGTACAATCTTGGCAACCTATCTTTCTTACAGCCCAATAGGTTCCTATTCCTTTCACTACTGTCAAACCCTTGGTAAAGAGTTTTGATAAGGCCCTAACCTCAACTGAAAAGGATTCTGTTGAGGGTTTATTAATGTCTTTAGTAAACTCAACGGGGACATACTTGGCTACTTTCAGAATTCTTTCTAAATATGACACAAAATAATCAATGTCATTTTGTCCCATCTGTCAACCAGTTTCACATATGGCAAATGTTTGCCAAATGCGTTATGATTCTATAAGTTCAAGTTCAGTTTCTCATTGTTATTTTCAATACTAGTTACCGAGTGTCATATCTGGTTAACAGGTAACGGAGACCACAGTGTATACATAATCCCAAAAGGTTATGGAAGCAACTGGTCTCCAAACTTTCCTTAAATTAAATAATGGATTGTATTTGATTATGTATGACAAAGTTCCATCTCCGTTAATAAGGTCCCCTAATTGGTTTGTCACCATCCTCAACTGAAAAGGACCCATTGGAAGTTTGTTCATTGCTTGTGTGACCTCAGTTGTGAACATAGTTGTCAACTCTTGTTAATTTTGAAATTTCGTTTACATATTATACAGTATGATTGTTGTGATTTTGACCTATCTTTCAACCAGAATTGATACTTGTTAACTAGTATCTTATTTCATATTTTAGTTTAAATTAGCCTCTTATATTAACTATTGAATTAGATTCATATACATTTCAATTATTTTACAATATCTGTTAATAATTGCATTCTTTTGAGATAGATCCTAAATTTCATTCACTTTATACTGCTCTAAGTATCCACAAATATACCATCTTTTATTCTGGATTCAAATTTGGATTTATTTTATAAAAGAGATAAAGGTACATCCAAACCATTCTCATTTAAAGGATATCCTGGTATACCTCTAGAACAAAATATGTTATTCAATAACCAAGGAATGTAGGTTGCACTGTCCTTATAATAAATTGCCTATGAAAAGTCCTCTGAAGATTTCATTTAAGTGTTGCTATTAAAACAGCATTCATAAGTTACTTTTATTTTACGACACATATATTAATGAAATAATAAAAAAAACACTTTAAGAAGATATGTACATATAAAATGAAATAACAAAAAAAAACATCAAAATGAAATAATAAAAAAAACACTTGAAGAGCATATGTAGATATATAAGATGAAAATGAAATAATAAAAAAACATTTAAAGAACATATTTAATAGAAAAGAAAAAATATCACACTATAAACAGCATATGTACAATTTATTTTCACTTTGTCCTATTTATTTTGGAAGGCAAAATTGTTTTATGCTATTTAAAATAGCGAGGAACGGGTTCTCTTCTCTGTGAACTCGCCGCCACAAAAATTCGCACAAATATAAAACGAGGTGTTGTCTGGCAGTTCCTCTATGTATGTCTCCACTTCGCTGAGCCCCATAATCGTTCTATGTGTTGAGTATGAACCCCAGTGATGGATGACAAAATTATACCGGTGATGCACTTGGACATTGCCATAGTTTGCTTCGTTCAGTTGTCGGGTGTTGTATCCTTTCCAACAGTCCGAATAAATGGTCGTTTATTCTTCTATATTGTCTTTAATTGGTCGTAATAAAGTTGTTGCTTTTCTGTCATTTATTTTGACGATAAAACATTCATCTGTTTCTCTGCAAACTCCACCAAACATCCATTGCTGAGGTAAAACTCTCCCCACACGATTTTTTCGTTTAGAAAAAAGATTTTTGTCTTCTTCAACCACTTTGCCAGGTCCTCCAATTTTTTTTCTTGGCCTGTATAACATGACATGGGCACAAACCTCTCTTAGACATTTGTTCCACATTACCATAGCTCCGTAGGATAGTTTCAGCTGCTCCTTGCCCCACTTCATCATCGTTAAGCTATGGGACCATCCATAAATCAATTTTAAAGCTGTTAAAAACGAAATCCTCGAGCCCTCCAACCATGTTCCTTTCCTTATTGAAAGTTTTGTGTCACAAGTCCTACGAAAGCATCTCCATTTGGTGTTCCTGGTTAACTTCATTCGATGACCTCGTTCACACAATTTCACGTCTGCAAGTATCCCAACATTTTGAAAATATTGAATTGCCTGTTCTTCTGATGACGGCAAATCCCATATTCTAAGAAGATCCATAATATGACGAAAATAAATGGAAAAAAAAATGAAAAATAAACACAAAGGGGCCAAAAGCTAAAAAAAAATAAACACAAATGGGCCAAAAACTAAAAAAAAAATAAACACACTTTGCCAACACACAGACGGGCCAAAAACTAAAAATAATGAAAAATAAACACAAACGGGCCAAAAGTAAAGAATTTAATAAGTGAACGTAATAAGGGAATAACTGAAAACTAAACAATGCAATAACTCAAAGGTTTGGCGGGATAAGAAGAGGGAGGTTATGTGACGTTACGTTAGATAAGAAGTGAGGTTTCGTGCCGGCCCGCTAGACAAAAAGTACCGAATCCCCTTCAGAAGGTGTCAGCATGGCCCTTATGGAGAAAATTGTTTATTTGATAATTTAAATATTGTAAACCTCAGTTTTATCTTTATTGAATTTGTTTTACTAACTTATCATTAACCATCATTAGAGACAATAGATCAACATTTATTAGCATTAAGAAGTTTAAGTATAGATTGCACCTTTAAAAATGTTAAAACCAATGTATGCAGAGATGAATATTTCTGGAATGTTTTTATTACTGACGTTATGTGGAACATTGTTCAGCAGAGGCTAATAGAAAACTTTACTCTCAACTCGAACAATGCTTTTTCGCAGGCTTCTCTTCGGAATCAATATATAGTTTTTTGAAGTCTTATATTAATGATCCTTTATGGGTCTAATAATCCTGTAATTTATTGCCCTAAAACACCTACCCTAAAGCTAACACCTAAGCCGATCGATTCGGGAAATCCTACAAAATTATACTGTAGGTCATCGTGCAAAATATAACAGGTATCCCATTACTGTCCACTGAGGAGTATCGCATACCCCGAACTCACCATTATTAGATGTGCAGGTCGACATCTTTACTTGGTAGGGTTTGCATTAGCTTACCGTACTCCAAAAATTTAACAAATTAGCTATGGCGTACTCGTTACAAAACAAAACAACCGATCCTGTCTGGGACGGAATATTCAGTTGGATATCATGTTATGAAGTACCACACAATATTACGTCGGACGGTAGAGGGGAATTTAAGAGCACCTGTACTATTAAGGAACTTGCAGTGCTAAATATGAAATGACACATAAATTCTTAATATGAAATGACACAAAATAGGAAAGTGTTCTAAATGAGGCTCAGCACTCAATCAGATCTCTATTGTGTACTGCAATGAATGTCACTCCACATGAAAAATTCTTCAATTTTTCACAAAGGTATTATGGAATAACAACACCCTCTTGGCTATTAAACCCTGGACCTGTTTTATTGAAGAAACGGTGAGATATTCAAAGTATAACCCTTCCATTAAAGAAGTGGAACTTATTATATATACTCTATACTGTTTTGTGAGATTGCCTGATGGGGGGAGGGGATAGAGATCGGTATCTAGTAGACTTCTGGCACCTCCAGGCTCAATAATAGAACCACTCAATGAAGGAGATCTAACATTTTTAGGACACAGGTGTTATCAAGCCCTCGCGAGGCTCTCGACACTCAGTTGGCAAAAAATATCCCATTAGAAGAAGGGCAGATAAAAAATAATCCAACAATGAATAACCAACCAATTTTAGAAAACGCTGACGAGACTTGTAAGCCTCCTGAATTCCCAAGAAGAAGTTCTAGAATTTCGCAAGTTCCTTCGTACTTGAAGGACTACTATACCTAAGTCTTGTTTATTGGTTTATTTTTCTAAAAGGGGGGAGGGGTTGAATGATCTAGTTATCAACTTGTTAAAAATATGTTAGTTGCTTAACCTTATTAAGTTGTTGAGTTATTTAATATTTATTAACTTATTTGTTAATTTCATTATTATGTGTGGAATTCAGTTTATTAAAGTATTTGTTTTATGGTATTCCTTATTTATCTCTATTACTCTATAACACTATCACTTACAGCTACTGCAAGTGTATCAACATTCTCCTTTTGTGTTTTTTCAAAACATAATCGCTCCTCTTGTCCTGCCCTAGAAGTGCAGCCCTTTACGTGCAATAGTGAAAACCGTCTTTATGTAAGACTCCTTAGTAGAAAACCGGCAAAAGTCGTGTCAGCTGCCTTTCTAATTTAATAATTATTGTTGTTCTGGCGTCTGCTAAAATTAATACTGAATGTTCTGAGAATTTCATAAGCACAAAATTTGTATTTAAAGTTGATCAGAAGCTCCAACCAACCACATCTGCTGTCGCGATGGTTTTCCTGTCTGGCCATCCCTGTTTGAGCCTGCACACTAAAATCCTCTCATAAAAGTCATCTCACAATTGTTACTACAAGTATCTACTGACAACTATATGAATAAATACTCGAGATTCCCATTTTTTGACCATGCTCAGATTTATCAAATACTGTTATTTAAGTATTAAATCTAATATTCTTAATTTTTGTATATTCAGATTATAATACACTCAGATCGAAGTACATCTTTCGTATACAAAGAATCTGAATCTTGCCTCCATTTTAGAATAATCCCACCAGCTGTCGTACTACTTCATATAACCCTTGTGAGAATGGTCAAATAGAGATATATAACGATGTAATTTGGAAAGCAAGATCTCTCACATTGCTTATAAAAGCTTTACCTGTTTTACGGTGGGAGAAGGTTTTGCTAGAAGCCTTGCAGTCAATTCGTAACTTGACCAATACAACTCATGAAAGTTGTTTTTCCATGTGAGAATACAGGTTTAAGTTAACATTCTTAACAATTATCCAAAATTTCCTTATGTTTAACACTAGATTGACAGTGATGAGTTTCATCAATGTTAGATCTTTGCTATGCATACTGAACTAGATAGAATAAGCTGCCAAACAAAGCTGTTTCCTTCATGTTCTGTAACTCCAAAGACATAAATCAATAAACACTTGATTTACTGACTAAATTCCATACATTTGTTTACAGGATAGTTACACGGTGGGCCAGACCCCCTTACCGTGCCCCCCCCCCACATCCCTATAAATTGCATATCGTTGTGTTCCTTGTGACAATTTATTAAAAAAAAGCCAATGTTCCCACAAAAAAAAGTGAACGAACTGCCCCAAAATGGCGTCCAAACATGGCGGATTGACGACTTTGACTTTAGTTAGTTTTTTTGTTACTGAGAATCAGCATTTGGCTTAATTTCATTATAGTTGGTCTTTTATTAAAGCTGGATAGTCAGAGAATAATAAAACATGAAAAAATATTAAAAACTAATTGGCTTAGGCATTAAAAAAAATCGGTAAAGTCAATTTTTTTTACAAAAAAATTTTCAAGTTGAAAATCAAGCGTCGTTTGTAATTAAACGGTCAACAATAATGCAAAACGTGCTGAAATAAAACATCTGGAGAATACATTTCTCTTTCTAAAACACTGATTACTTTTTAAAATATTTGAAGTAGTTCCGTATAAAATGTACTTAAGCGGCAGAAAAGCGCTACTGGCGTGGGTGCCTACAGGCCTCTACCACACCACTCAGTACTCATAAATGGCTTAGTTATAGTGCTATAATAACGTTTTTGTTATATTTTATTGATTATATTAACGAACAAATATTAATACAATAATTTAATTGTAAAAAATTATTTTTTTAAATTTATTTTTTTTTTTATTTTTATTATTTTTTTTTTAATTTAACTTCATTTATTCTATACGGAGATCGCTTAAGAAGGCCTCTATTATAAAAATTATAAAATTATAATAATAAAACTTAATTCAAAAATACTTTGCAGAATATCTTGATTTTTTTATTTAATATTTGCAATTTAACATTTTGTTTTATATATTTACTGATTCTTAGAGGTAATTTAAATTGTATATACTTCCCCGGAAATGAGTCATATTAATATCTGTTTTATAAACTAAAATAATATATACCTAATCTGAAAACTTTTAATGAATAGGTGATGGATTGTTTAGTAAAATTGTTATATCGCTATTAAAAAAAACATTTTTATTTCCTTTATTTTATTCGGAAGTTGGACCATATCATAAAAAATAGGAACTTTTAATATTAAAGTGCATTATTCCCTCTGCACAAAAGAAATATGGAAAGGGCGAAGCTATAAGTTCTTCTAGGTAACTGGAACTGATTGTTAGTATTTGGTCTCAAAATGAGGGAAAACGCGAAATTGAACCCAAACATTGGAAAAATACATTAAGCGAACGACAGTGCCAAAATTTCGGAAAAGAAAACAAGGATCAGTATCCATTATATGGCTAAACGAATATATAGTAGACAATGAACAGAATATTTCAAGATGCTGCTAAAAGGGGTAAAAATGCTTGATGGGTTTGGATGATGTTAAGCAGGTTTATTATGGTGAAGAACATTTATCAGCAAGAAAGATTTGCTCTAAGCAATTGGCAAGCAGGTCTGGAGGAAGTAAACGAGGTTGATAATGGTGTAAACCACTTTATTTTAGATTGCTATTGAAGTTGTACATTGGGACTATCTTCACTTTGAAGCAGGTTATACAGAGGTCTATGATAAAAGGAAATAGCTCTGCTCCTGTTTAGTGCAATTGCAAAAGATTTTTGAATGAATCTGAAAGGAAAACGAGCTTTTGTGAAAGACTAGTAGATATTCGATCAATCCAAAGTGTGAGGCACTAAGCAGATAGAGAACCATTTTTCTTTCTCTGTGGACTTCTCTATAACCTACTTAAAGTGAAGACAGTCCCAATTTGCAACTTATGTTCCAATGTGCAACTTGAGTTTCTCAATCCATATCGCTCAGGCAATCGACAATATTTCTAATTTTAGCTTATACGATTCTTGAGTAGACTTTCTTTGGTACTATAAACAGTAAGGAATCTCGAATAACATTTCCTAGTATCTCATTTCCTGTAAAGGGACAAAACTACAGTCCTTTCATATCATTTTCTAATACATTTGTAGCCTTTGTACGCACAGCATTTCGGGTTACTTCGTCCAGACCAGCTGACTTGCCAATTGCCTAGAACAAATCTTTCTTGCTGATGAAATGGTCTTCACCATAATAAACCTGCTTAATATCATCCAAACTGATCAAGCATTTTTACCCCCATTTAGCAGAATCTTGAAATATTCTGTTCATTTGTCTACTATATATTCGTTTAGCCATATAATGGATACTGATCCTTGTTTTCTTTTCCGAAATTTTGGCACTGTCGTTCGCTTAATGTATTTTTCCAATGTTTGGGTTCAATTTCGCGTTTTCCCTCATTTTGAGACCAAATACTAACAATCAGTTCCAGTTACCTAGAAGAACTTATAGCTTCGCCCTTTCCATATTTTTTGTGCAGAGGGAATAATGCACTTTAATATTAAAAGTTCCTATTTTTTATGATATGGTCCAACTTCCGAATAAAATAAAGGAAATAAAAATGTTTTTTTTAATAGCGATATAACAATTTTACTAAACAATCCATCACCTATTCATTAAAAGTAGTTCAGATTAGGTATATATTATTTTAGTTTATAAAACAGATATTAATATGACTCATTTCCGGGGAAGTATATACAATTTAAATTACCTCTAAGAATCAGTAAATATATAAAACAAAATGTTAAATTGCAAATATTAAATAAAAAAATCAAGATATTCTGCAAAGTATTTTTGAATTAAGTTTTATTATTATAATTTTATAATTTTTATAATAGAGGCCTTCTTAAGCGATCTCCGTATAGAATAAATGAAGTTAAATTAAAAAAAAAAATAATAAAAAAAAACAAAAATAATAAATTTAAAAAAAATAATTTTTTACAATTAAATTATTGTATTAATATTTGTTCGTTAATATAATCAATAAAATATAACAAAAACGTTATTATAGCACTATAACTAAGCCATTTATGAGTACTGAGTGGTGTGGTAGAGGCCTGTAGGCACCCACGCCAGTAGCGCTTTTCTGCCGCTTAAGTACATTTTATACGGAACTACTTCAAATATTTTAAAAAGTAATCAGTGTTTTAGAAAGAGAAATGTATTCTCCAGATGTTTTATTTCAGCACGTTTTGCATTATTGTTGACCGTTTAATTACAAACGACGCTTGATTTTCAACTTGAAAATTTTTTTGTAAAAAAAATTGACTTTACCGATTTTTTTTAATGCCTAAGCCAATTAGTTTTTAATATTTTTTCATGTTTTATTATTCTCTGACTATCCAGCTTTAATAAAAGACCAACTATAATGAAATTAAGCCAAATGCTGATTCTCAGTAACAAAAAAACTAACTAAAGTCAAAGTCGTCAATCCGCCATGTTTGGACGCCATTTTGGGGCAGTTCGTTCACTTTTTTTTGTGGGAACATTGGCTTTTTTTTAATAAATTGTCACAAGGAACACAACGATATGCAATTTATAGGGATGTGGGGGGGGGGGTGCACGGTAAGGGGGTCTGGCCCACAGACTAAGTATATTATTGATGGATACATTAAAATGATAGAAGTTAATTGCAATAGAAATTCAGCATTATTTTTTTTCTATTTTAATAATCTTTATTTAATTAATTAAAAAATATACACCACTATTTAGATGTATTACTGAACCATGAAAGTACTTTGTTTACAATAGTTTTTTCTGTTTCTCAACTAAGAGTTATACAAGGAGATGTGGTCAGCATCTATGCTCGACTGCCATATTTTTGCCCTAACTCATTGAAAAAACTGTTATCCACTTTACAGAGACTGGGTAAAACCCCATTACATAAATCATAGACCCTAAATTGGAAATCATAAACATCCTAATAATATTTCATTTCTAAATCAATTTGTTGAAAATGGTAATATCATTTTTGTTTATAACTTTCGTATTAGCAATGTTATATTTTTCAGTAACATTTTCAATAACATAAATTTTGTAATTATTCTGGGAGCAGTCTAGATCAAGAAATTTTAGTAACTTATATCTCGAGTAACATGTTAATAAATTTTCTTGTGACAGTATGTTATTTTCTAATTAGATAGATTGACTCAATGTTATTAGCATTTTTGTCAGAAACATGGTTAATATCAATGTTAATAACATTTTACTATTCACCAATGTAAAGAGGAAGCATCAAAATATTAATAAAAAAATTATATTAACTTAATATTTTGCTAATATCGATGTTGCTTGTAATATTTCCGTTATGTACCCATCTTTACCCCCTGAAATTTTAAATCCATTTAATTGATATATTTGTTGTATTTATTCCTTCATATTGATGATTATTCCAAAAATTTAATTTATTTTGTTAATTTATGCCAGTTCAGCTCAAATAAAATATTTATTTTTTTCAGATTATGCTCGTTAACTTTATCGAGACTGATTGTTTTAAAACCATTAGGATCTGACGTATTGTCTTTATCGATTGCTGTTAAAATGCAGGTATGTCAAAGTCTAAAATTCATTAACTACCTATTTTAATGACTTAACCTTTCACATTATTTTTTCTGTTTCCAGAATTTATCGTCTATATTCATGTATTGTATTATATATAAATTTACATCTTTATTTATGTATAAAATTTCATCTTTATTAATTTATTTTTGGCGCTATGTTCTTGCAAGAACCTGGGACTCTCTTATAGGAGAGGTAGCTGGTAGATACTCTTTACAATCTCGATGAAAACGGATCTGCTTTAGGAACCTAGTAATCCTGCCCATGTGATTTCTTGATCTTCCCCTCCTCCTGTATAATGGGAGAATCATTTCCTAAACCCCAAACCAAAATATCCTTTCTACTTAGTTTTTATCCTTATCATATCACACCCCACCCTCCTTCTGGGGATTTCTTATTTAATATAAAAATATGTTTTTTTGGGAGTTTTTTTAAACAGTTGGATGCTGATGAATTAATGTATTCTATTATTTTGAATGAAAGACCACCAGCATCAGTTTTTAATATCAATATTAGATGTATTGCAGGTTAAAATGATTTATTTTATGTAATTACCAAGTTTTCTGAATGTAAATATATTTATGAGACACTTAATTGATAATGATTACTTAATTAAGATGTATATGTGTGTGTTTCTCATAATAATAATAAACTACATATAACAAGCATAATTAAATAAAATGGCTTACCAGCTGAAACGTAGCCGATGTAGATGTAAAAGTGAAATAAATGTGGGTAAGTAATAAAAAAACACAGTCTTATTTTATATTATTAAAATATTTCACCTGAAACAAACAACACACATAAATAATATAAACTGATTTTTGCTATATCCGCTCATGTGTATTTGTAGTTAGATATATGTTTATAGTTTACCTAAACTAGATGGAACTTATCTTTTCAATTATATGTAATCAATTATATCCAAGGTAGTAAAAAAAATCATTTATTTTGTCGCCATGTTATAATAAATATGATTATAGGGCTCCAAAAGAACTCTGCGATCTAATGAAATGACTCTACCTGTAAATGCACTGCTTGATACAGAACTGCAGTTACATTTTTCTCTTCAGGTATGCTTTTTTCCTTTCATCTAAAAGTTATTAAGAAATGTAATTTGTATATTTTCACAGTAATATATTTTGTATACTTCTTACTTTTATATTGATGTATTATGTGTTAGCTGCAATATGATTTTACATTGTTGGGCTCAATGATATTTTAAAGATACTTAAGTTTTCCAGGCTCCATTACCTGGTGTCATATATGACAGAAACAGCTTCTTTTATGTTTTTTTTAGTAGTGTAGTGTTGTTTTCTTATGGCAGATGTAATACGCCAAAAAAATAATTATATAAAAAATTAAATATGTTTTAAAAATTTTATTTTATGAACGTTGATGCTAAGGAAATAATAGGACAGAATAACTCATATAAAGCTTAGTCAGGATCGCAGGGTAGTTGGGAAAAATGAGAAATTGGGGAATTTTTTATATCGGGAGAAGTCAGGGAAGTTTTTTAGTACGTAAATATATTTTTTCAAATTGGAAATAAATGTATATTGGATAAGATAGATGACCTTGAATGGACCAGATAAACATTATTATAGCCGATCATCGTTGTAAATGTATAATTGATATAACGACCAATGTTGTCGCTATATTTATCCAACCGTGACTGTCAATAACGGCGATTGTCCTTATATTGAAATCGAACATGGGTAATGATTAAAATTTAAGCTAAATGGACTTGAAACAATGGTTTGTTTAAAAAGAAAAATATACCTATACTATTTACTATCTGTAATATCTACATCTATGGACATATTTATTTTTTTTATAAAGTAATGAACTTCTTGGCGGTAATATTTTCTCTAGGCAAATGTCCATTAGAACATTATTAGAACTTAAAATGCTGAGTATGGGTGGGCGTCACCTCGATAAAAAATTGCGTTTCATTGCATTGAATAAGTCACAGTTATAATTCTTAGGAACAGTCGGATAAACCTTTGATTTCCATTTTTTGGTTAACTGTAGGAGAATGCTGGCAGCTTTACAGCTAAATTTTTTTAAAACAGTATTATGTCAGACAGAATCTTTGTATTCATCCTCTCGAAATACTAATTCGATATTCATCAAGAGAATTGCGAATTGATTTTAAATATTCGTTAGTCTTTTTGAATAAAATCTGCCTTAACCCTGATAGCGGAATATTAAGAAGAACCGATTTTGTCGTCAGTAGATCGTTAATGTTCCTTGGTTTTAAAAAATGAACCACATTCACCATACACTCAAATAGATTCGCAATTTCTTCAAATTGTTGAAAGACTTTCGTTTAATTCTTGAGCCAGGCTACTATTGAACTCTTCCCTCTGCAGTGGGCAGCATGTACAGAATATTTCTCCCAAGGGAACTTTGTTTTTCGATATTCTTTTTACAGTAATAAACAGGAATATGAATTTAATGTTAAAAGTCATTGAGTTCTGCGCATGCGTTAGATTATAATAATAAGGTGTATAAAAAAAATTATTGTTTTTCAATCAAATATTTGTAATATTATTTCTTTGATTTAAAATATAATTAATACTCCATAAGTATAGTCCATGGTCATCTACCGTCATTAGCCATCTGCTAGCCAATTGCTCATTCCTACACTGATACCATTCTTTGGGTTGGCTGTCAAAGAACTCGTGGATGCAATTTCAACTTCCGCAAAATTATCAAATTTTTTCCTTGAAAAAAATGAGCCATGGATCTAAATTAGTAGTAATCGGATGGTGCGAGGTCTGGAATATATGGTGGATGAGGCAGGAGTTTGAATCCATGAAGTTCTTTAAACTTTTCTTTGGTTGGGCGGGAAGTATGAGGATGAGCATTATCTTCTAAGAATAAAATTCCTTTTCAGTTGATTAAAGCAGGATAACGCTCTGACAACTTCGCCTACAATCTTTCCAATTGTTCGCAGTAGAGTTCAGAATTCATAGAGCATCCATCAGGAACAAATTTATGATGAATAACACCTTTAAAATTCCAAAAAAGGCAAAGCATGGATTTTTTTTTTCAAATTGCCTCCTTGCAGCAACCAAAAAAGCAGTTTGACTGCGATCTAGCCATTGCTCACGGGTAGTCGGATTTCACCAGTAAACCCACTTTTCATCACAGGTGAAAATCTTTCAGTTAAATCTCATATCAGAAGGGCTCTTTTTCACCTTCCCTATGGAGTATAGATGGCGACTAACAGTATCTTTTGACACACCCCACTCCCTGGCAAGTTGGTGAGTTCTTGTGGACAGATTTGACTCAACAGCTTCCTGCAGAACCTCATCAATATCCATTAATGGTCGTTAAATTTTTCAAACCAATGTTGCGCAGAATTTTAAGAGTTGTTTTAGCTGCTGTGAAATTTTTTTTTTCAGTAACGCCTTAAAATTATGAGAATTTCATAGAACACTGTTATGTTTCTTCTTTGAAACAAATAATTAAACTGAGGCTTATTGTTAAGAAGTCAAATGGGATTAAACAAGCTTGGAGAACGGTCTAAAAGGATGCTCCAAGAATTTTCATAGCATTTGAAAAATAAAAATGTTTTGCTCATTTTTTTTTCTTCTTGAAAGAATTCTATTTGGTGGTCTAAAAAGGAACTTGAAAACTATAATAATGCAAACATTATTGTAACTATGAATAAAGCGAGCAGTGGACTGTTAACATGAGACTAAAATATAAGATTTTTATGAATTAATTAATCCTTGGAAAATATAAATTAAATAAATACTATGGTATTGTTTTTCATTTCCCTAATTGCTTATAATATAAGTTGTTTGACTTGCACGTAGTACTAAAAACACCATTCAGCACAACTGGTTAGGATCTTTTGTGAGAAACTATTCAACCTTATATTTTATTTTAAAATGAAAGTGAGTTAATATTTAAACTAATTGAATAAAACAATATTTTCTTGTTTATATATATATATATATATATTTTAAATGATTTATCACACTTTTGTTTCAGTATCCTCACTTTTTAAAACGTGATGGTAATAAGCTTCATGTAATGCTTCAAAGGCGTAAACGGTATAAAAACCGAACAATTCTTGGATATAAAACATTAGCTGATGGAGTGGTTAATATGTCTCAAGTAAGTTTTATATTTGTTTTGGTATTAGTGTTTTGTTTTTTATATGATTAAATTGATTTTTTGTTTGTAAATTATGTTTAACTGTCATTATTGTTTTAAAATGTTATAATTAGTACCTTTTCTATCATGGTTAATTTCCTATTTTATTAAGTTATTTTTGCTAGCTGCTAAGATTGTTATATTTTGGGTAGTAACCCGAATATTCTTTTAGTAGAAAAGATAGGCTGATTTTAAGACTGTTTCATCCTGCAGCATTTTAAGTAAATATTATGTTACTGAAAGTATAATTTTCTTAAAATCTTAAATTGTTCCATGCAGGAACATTTAATCTTCTTCAACACTCTAATGCTTCTTAGCACTTTTAATGGTGTTATATTATCAGAAAGCTTTCTTTTTTTATAAATATTTAATAACGACAATAATAATAAAAGGCTTAGCGAATCCGGAGGATCGATGCCGACACCACCAATTGCTTATTACACACCTTCCTCCACCGTTCGCCGTTCAAACCCAGTCCCTTCAGATCCGCTTAAACGCAACCTTTCCACCTATGCTTCAGTCTACCTCTCGGACGGTTACCAATCGGTACAGCAAATATCAACCTTTTGGGAATTCTTTCGTTACTATGCCCAACTATTTTACAAGTCCATTTGATTCTCTGTGATGTAATCACCTCAATTATATTAACTGGATACAGTTCACGCAACTCGGCTTTGTGCAACCTTCTGAGCTCTCCGGTTAACTCATCTTTCTTCGGTCCGAATATTCTATGCAATACTTTATTTTCAAAAACCTTAAGGACGTTGCTCACCTCTTAATGTAAGCGGCCACGTTTCGCATCCATAAAGAACTGTAGGTAGGATAATGGTTTTATAGATTCTAGTCTTTAAATTCCGGGACAAGATGTGCAAGCTAAATAGTTTTGTCACTCAAAAATAACAAGCATTTCCCACCTTCAGCCTAACCTTAATCTCCTTTTCAATTTTGTTTTTTCTAGTTATCATAGACCCTAGATTCTTAAACTTCTCTACCTGTTGAAACATGTTACCTTCTATATCAATATCGCCATTTTTGCAGCTAACCATATATTTTGTCTTATCCGTGTTTATTTTGAGCCCTAGTTCTTTACTGGCTTTCATTAACGTTGTTGTATTTAGTTTTATAGTTTCCGTGTCTTCGTTTAACAGGACCAGATCATCCGCATAGCCAAGCACGGGTGTTGTTCCACCCAGATCCAACCCTTTTTCGGTACGCATCACCTCCCTAATGGCATGTTCTAATGCCAAATTGAACTGGAAAGGCGAAAGGGAATTGTCCTGTTTTAAACCTGAACGAATACAGCCGGTTAACAACGCTGTTGTACTCTAATTTTTTCTCCAATATTTGCTGTAAAGAAAATATTTGATCAATAGTCGAACGATTTCTTCAAAATCCGCATTTTTAGTCACCGATAATTTCCTTGGTGTATTCTGTGATTCAACTTGTTAAGATTAAAGTGAATAATTTATAACATACCGGAAGGAGTGAAATTCCTCTATAGTTATTTCAATCCATCCTCGGACCCTTTTTGTGAATCGGAATAAGAATAGATTCTTTCTATTCTTCTGGTAATTTCTTATTCACCCAGATATTTTTAACCAACAGATGTATTTTAGAAACTCCAGCTTCCCCGCATGCCTTAATTAGTTCACAGGAATATTATCATCCCGCTGCTTTATAAGATTTTAATTTTCCGATAGCTACTCAACTTCCTTTCTACTCGGTTCTTGTATTAACGGTTCCGCACTCTGGTATCAGAAGGAGACACAGATCATAATTTCCATTATTTAAAATACTGTCAAAGTGGCTCTTAAACTTATTTAATATGTCTACCTGATCGGTCAGAATATTGTTATTTTCATACCTAATTAATTGACGGTCCTAAACATTTGCGTTATCTGTTTATACCTTTGTACATGTCTCTTACGTTATTTTCAATTCTATTAGTTTCTATTTCAATTTTTATTTTTAAGATACTCCCTTATTTTATTTTTGAGCAATTTTGTCGTTTCATTCTTTGAGGTTCTTAAGTATTCCAGATTGTCTTCGCTAGGATTATTTAGAGCTTTTAATTTAGCGGCTTTTCTTTTTGAGCACATGTTTAAACAATCTTCATCAAACCACGGTTTGTTATTCTTATTTTCCTTTTTTCCTAGACGAGTTACCGACCGCTTTAATATTATCTCTGATCTCTACCATAACTTGTCAATATCCTCGCGGTCCTTGTCAGAAGCTCTAAGCTTCAAACCTATTCTTAACATCTAGCTCGAATTGGTTCTAATTGATGATTTTTTAATTTTTCCAAATTAAAATTCTCAAATCGAAACGGTTTTCTTTTCTCTTTTTTATATTAAGTTTTTGTCGAAGTTTTGCGATTACTAATTCATGATCCGACCCACATTCTGCTCTGCGATACGACCGTACATTAATTATACTGCTTTGCTAGCTATATTGTATCAATGATGATGATTTGATTTCGTGTTTGCGAATCCGGTGATGTACAGGTATATTTATGAATATCCTTATGTTTAAACTTAGTACTTTTAATTATCAGGTTTTTCGAGATGGCAAAGTTTATCTGACAGATCCCATTATCATTACTATATTTATGCAAACTTTCTTTACCAATCGTCGGAACATAAACTTCTTCCCTTCCCACCTTTGTGTTTGCGTCACCTACAATTATTTTCGCAGTAGTTTATCATAAACCCATTGGAGTTTGTGGTAAAATTCGCATTTGACTTCATCGTCACTGTCTTCGGTCGGACAATGTATGTTTATGAATGTGATTTTAAACCAACTTCCCTGAAATATCGCTACCGAAATTCTATCACTAAAAGATTGTACGTCCCTCAAAGTGGATAGAAATCTATTCCTAATTAGAAACCCGATAACTAAACAATGATTCCTTCTTCCTCCGTACCAAATAGTGTACTTTCCTTCCCTCATCCAGCCCTCCTGGCCAGCTAACCTCTTGCAAAGCCACGGCATCCAAATTGTACCCATTAACCTCATTCGCAACCGATTTTAATTCCCCTGCTGTGTTTAAACTCCTTACGTTCCACGTACCAATATTCAAATCTCTATTTTTCAATTTTGCACCATGAATCCACTAAAGCAGTTCCTACCCGGAGAACCGGACGGGGGACTAGTTTACCTACGGATAATGAGCGTTTTACCTTAGGGAGATCCATGACTGTGGTGTATGGTGAACTAAAAATATGTGAGTTCAATCCTACGTCACACCCTCTGGCAAGTCTGGTGGGCTCCTACCTCCAGCAAGTCTGTAGGGCCTCTCTCATTGTTGGTCAGCGAGTCCATCGGACTTAGCCGGGAGGAACTTCCAAGAAATTTCCACCGACCATTTCTACATCCGCCACCCATGGGACACTCCCCATACGAGGTAATAAGCCCGCGCAACTATAGTTATTTAAGCATGACAAATTTTATTTCATTGGAAATGGTAATTCATTAATCAGTTTGATTTTTTCTTCATAGCTAATTAAGTTTGATTTTTATTTTAATCCCGAAACTATTATAAATAAATTTGTAAACACTTTGTCGATGACTTTGTTTAAAGAATATTAAACCTTACTTACTTAATCCATCCTCATCTACCACTGAGCAATCTAAGGCTATAGTGTAACATTAAACCTTTATATCAAAAGATACAGGATTATATTTTTTTACAATTTCTGGCTTTGGGACATTGTTTTTACTATTAAGGAGGTAAACATACCTCAAGTCCCCACTCCTAGGTGGTGAGCCAGATGTGGGAGGAGAGGACACCTAGAAAGTCACTTTTTTCGGGTTTTCGCTTATATCAGGAAAACTATCCCAAAGACTTGTTATACAAAATTAAAGCTGATGAAATTTGCAATATGATTGATTATGTATCTTTTTTCGTTACCTTGCTTAGTTTCCGAGATTCAAGAATATATATTATTTTACTAGTCTATCTCCAAAAGTTAGATCAATTATAACTTTATATGTCAATTCCGAGAATTTGCAGAAAAAAATAATTTTTTAATATTCGCTATTGTTATATTGCTCTAATTCTCTATACATCTAAATCTCTATGTGCATATATATATTTTAATGTTCTCGTTCCCTCCAAAATTAAACAACCAGTTTCTTTTTCAATATAACATTTATTTCTCACGCATATATAAATTCCCAGGTTGGGTTTAGACAACGAACATACATCCTCATTTATGCTATATAAAAGCATATATTAATTATTCAACACTTTTATGGGTTTCCATTAAATTTGTTGGAGTATATTCTTGGCGCGCTTTTGATCTGTCCATTTATATATTCCTCACTCACCCTGTGGTGCAGCTACTTCTCTTCTACAACCTTCTACTGTTGACACTCACTACTTGGGGACCAACATCTTCTCACATATCTCACAGTTCCTAGCCGCCTGGCTACCTTCTCCTTAACCTATGTCCTCTTCACTCACTGGCTGGTCACCTTCTGCCCAATCTATGAGGCTTGCTTCCCCCACCATCTGTACATCCTTTCAGTAGCTCGTGATGTTACCACCTTCGTGCCAATCTTCAAAAGCACTATGTAATGTTGACACAATATATATATATATATATGTATATATATACACACACACATATGATTTATATGTCAATTCCGAGAATTCCCAGAAAAAAATAATTTCTTAATATTCGTTATTGTTATATTGCTCTAACTCTCTATACATCTAAATCTCTATATGTGTGTATATATACATATCGATGTGTGTATATATATATATATATATTTTTTTTTTTTGTTGGCACTACAGACCAAGATCTTTGGCCGCGAGATGTGGTCTCCTTACAGACGTGTGATACTTGTGGGGACTCAGATAGCCTGGAGGGGGTCATCCAACCTCACGTTGCTACGAACCATGGTTTCCATGGTGCAGCGGCAGGCCACCCGTAGCTCCATAGCCGATCCCTTTGGGGCCAATCTGGCAATGTCCTTCCCACCGACTTCCTCGGGTTCAAGGACAGTGACAAATCGGTCTAGATCCATGGATTATGGCTGCTCGGAGTCAACAGGCTCACGATGACCTATATTTCTTTCCTCAAAACAGACCATCCATGGACCGAACCTCAGGGCGGCTATTAACATCCTGGTAAACCACATCCCGATTCCCGATTTAAGTACACGGGGTAGGTTCATCAGTCCTACGCCCGGTCGGTGTGAGTTGCCTCCAGTAGGCTGACGGGTCTCACATACCGGAGGGAGGGACTCGGGCAGCATGGCTTTCCCTGGTGGACGGTCACCCTAATCAGGCAGTCACCCATCCAAGTACTAACCACGCTCGACGTTGCTTAACTTTGATTACCTATTGACGAAGCGATGAAGCGACTTTGCTATATATATATTATATATATATATATATATATATATATATATATATATTTATATATATATATATATATATATATATATGCATACATATATATATGCATACAATGACGTTAATTTAAAAATAATTCTTGGAATCAACATATAAAGTTATAACTGATGTAACTTTTGAACCATTGAAGATGAACCAGTAAAATAATATATGTTCTTGAAGAAAATTTAATTGTTATAAACTTTCTTTATAAATAGAAATTTTGAGTTAGTTTTAAAATTGCAACAACTTACATCGTCAATCATCTCAGTTTCAAAATTGCAACAACTTAGATCATCATTCATCTCAAATTCTATATTAGATTGGTTCACTGTGTATTTTGAGCCCAGTTCCAGTTCCAGAGCTGTGCTGTCCATTCACCACAACTTAGGTCTTCCTCTCCTTTGTTTGCCAAAAAATTTTTCCAAGAGAATGTTTTTATGACCTGATTCTTTCATGCCCTTCCTTCATGATTTTGCTGTAAAATTCGCACAGTTTCCATCCTGGCTGTTGTCAAGGTGTTTGTATTTCTCTAAGAAATTCTTTTATTTGTCTTTTTCTTAGGGGTTATTTATTTGCCTAGAGTAGTTTGACCAGTTTTTCTTCTTTCCTCATTTCTTGGCTTTTCTTCTTTCCTTAATACATATTACTTCCTAATCTGTTTTTTTTTTTTTTAATGTTTTTTTTTTTTGTCTAAGAGTTCAAATTGATTCCTCAGACAACATTGAAATCTGGATTTGACTTCAAATTATTTCAAGTTATAGGCTGCCTACCTTCTACTTTCCACTTGATCCTCTATTTAGTAGATTTGTTTCAGCCTCTGAAAGATCATAGTGTGCTCCACCATAGCTAAGAAGTTCTTTTAGGATGGAGCCCTGATATTTCTTATCTAACACCATATGATCAATTTTTTTTTTGGTACCTTCAGTGCTTAACCAGGTGTATTTATGGATGTCTTTGTGTGGGAACAAGTGGTGATAACACCCTTTTACTTAGGTTCAGCTTAAATGTGACCTTGAATTTTGTTAAAAAAAGAGTTTTCTATGAAAGCAGTTGGAATGGTGCTAAGGTTTCTGGGTTCAGTATCTAATTCATTAAATATTTGTTAGTTCATCTTTAACCAAAGATTTTAACTGGGTAAGTTTTTCCAAAATATTTCGTTTTCAATAATGTAACAAATTATCCAAAATATGGCACAGGTCTATCAAATTTGGGTCAATGTCCTATGTTTGCTCATTTTTTTAATTCTTATCTACGATTTTAATAATTTGTTATTATTAATAAAATGGTTTTTCTTACCTTAATTGTTAAATAAACAGCTCTTTTTCAGAATTTTTTAAACTATTGTTTTGTCCCATTTTACATCACTGCTCTCCTTACTTGAGATGCTAATTTTTTATTCATTTTTTTGTTTATTTAATGAAATTTACAACTGTATACAAATACAACTAGTAAATATGCTCAAATTACAAATAATGACATGAACAGGCTTGAAGGGATACTACCCAGTGGTAGCATACTACTTAATTTTATACTGGGTATTCTAATATCATTTTAGGTGGATGTCCCAAGTTATGGTTTGTATTCATAACTTAGGAAAAATGACAAAATAAATAAATGTTATGTACATTTAAAATGCTGAAAGGGATATATATTTTATCAATGTATCTGAAATATAAATAGGACTTATTATATTTTGTCCATAATCTATTCCTTATTTTAATGTTATATGTCCTTTTTAGGTGCTTCAGAGACCTTTAGATCTTGAATTAGATCTATTAACTGATGGAAAAGAATCGAAAATAAATAACATTGCTGCTAGAGTTACTGTACATGCTTTAAATAGTCAACCTGTTGATTATGAGGGACCTACAAAAACTACACTTCATCATGGTAAAATATAACGATAATTTCAATAATGTATTAAAACAACCATTTAGATCATTTTTGTAGCTAACTAATTCTAAGATTAGATACTGCACAACATCTTATAAATCCATTATAATGTTTGTATTGTGTTTTTCTTCTTTTCATGACATGTCAGAGGCTCTTGTAATTTAGTCCACCAATAGTTTCTATGGACCACCTTTCTTGTTTGTTGGACAAATTATTGTTTTTTATCATTCATTGAGGATTTGTTCATTGTGCCATTTATCTGTTACTGTATTGTAAAAGTAACTTTTCAACTCCTGTCCTCTTATATTTTAATAGTTCACCTGGTATTTCATCCTCCCTAGGAGCCTTATTACTCTTTTAAGTGTTAGAAGACCTCCTTTACATCTTCTGGCCCAGAATGGTGTATCTGACATACTGGTATTTCTACTTCCTGCATTTTCTCCTCCATCTCTCCAGTGTTCAAGAGAGTATTTTTTGCCATTACTCAAGGATGTGTGTCTTGTTTGAAAAAAGTTACCTTCAACATCTCTGCGGGAAGTAAGTAAAGGCTTATATGGGTGCCACCTTCTATTTATTTCTTGTAAGAACTTTATCATTTCATTTTAGTTTAAGAAATTTTCAGTATTTACGAGGAGCTCTCTTCCTTATTTTCCTCTTTTCTGTTTACTGTACATGATTCTCTTCTCTTCTTCTTACCCTGTATTCCTCAACCGATCCTCTACATTAGGACATTGAATGTGAAATAATATTTTACCTTCAAGGTACTACTTTATGCTGAAAAAGTTAAATTTATATTATGGATACATAATGGTTGTTTCTTTAGCCATCAATATAGTGTGATTATTGGTTTTTATGTTTAATTAGGAATATTTTTTTTTTTAATTTATGAATACATTGTTGGAATTTATTTATTTTTTCCAGTTCGAATTGGAGATTTTTCTGATGAAGATGAAGAATTTAGTAGTAATGATGATGGATCAGATTCTGAACCCATGCTGGAAGACCATAGAGAAAGGAAAGCCAGCCTTACACCAAATTCTACAGTAAATGATAATCATTTATTTCAACCTTTCTGTGTGGACATTTGAATTCTCATTTTTATTAATGCATAAATATTTGCTTTAATATCTCTATCACTTTAAAGCAGAAACTGATTTAATAATCAATAAAACTGCTGGACAAAACATTAGCATTAGTGATGGGCAAAACTGTTGCAACGGTTTCTGCTACTCTCAAAAAACAGTTTAAAAAAAACATATATCACTGTTTCGAAATTGGACATGCAAAAAAAAAACAAAAAAAAAACCTATAGTCACAATATATAGAGTGAAGTATCTTCAAAACAATTATCAATTTAAATGTTGAATTTAATCATACCTTTTTTAATTTTGCCGTAATATATCAACTGTGGGATGAAAAAAAAAGTACTTATAATTGGTGATAACAGTTAAAGTGACATTAAAATAATAATTTTTTTAAAGGTATTATATAAATTTATTAGTGAAAATAATGAACGGATAGAACTGAACTGAGAACTGTTTCTGTATCTGTTGCAAGAAGCTGTTTAAATTAAACAGCTTTCTCTATCTGTTTCAGAAAACTGTTTACGTATCTATTGCAAGAAGTTGTTTAAATTAAACAACTTCTGTTTAATAAATTAAATAGTGGCTGTTTAAATTAAACAGATTCAGTGTTTCCTTCTTTTACCGTCGGGATCGCCGTCTCCACCTACTAACCTGTAAAGTGAGTTGTCTTGGATCGGTTCCTAAACTCAGCACTGTATTCATCAATGGCTTAGTTTTGCTCTGTTTATAGATCTATTAAAAGGCATCGATGAGCTCAGCGCTGATTTTAACAAAAACTTGCCCCCTCCTAATGGAAGGTAATCCTTGTATTTGTTTAATCTTGATTGAAACAGTTTACTGTATCTGTTTAATTAAAGGAATTGTTTAAGTTAAACAGATTGCTACTAAACACCCCACCACTACAAACCATAGACAAATGTTGCCTTATAAAAGATCCTTCAAAATTACATTGGAATTATATCAGGAGATAGCGAGGTATAATATCTTTCTTTGATAAATAAAAGTAAGGAATTCACAGTAAATTTTGCGAAAGGAGAATCCTAATAACTCAACATTACTATTCGCCATTTCATTTCAAATTGACACCCAATTAAAGGGTTTTTTTTTGGCAAGGCTAGGCTGATTTTGTTTTAGATTTGGCATCCAAATCACAGATGATCCTTCAAACTCCACATTACCATCCCTCATTTTGTTTCATTCACCCATATCTCGGCCATTTATAAAGATGAAAAGAAAAATTAAATCATTACATCTAATTATTTAAAAAGAAAATAAATTATCTAAAAAATATATTGAAAATGGTTTATTATCTATTTTTAAATAATAAACCATTTTGTAATAATTTGAGTGATTTTTATTTAAATGGAAATAAAATAGTTCTAAAACCTAAACTTATTTCACATTTCACTTCAGAAAAACAAAAAATTACTATAAAAAAAGGTTTAGTTTGTATAATGCATTGCAATTTCTGTACAAACTAATGGAAAGTAATCCTTATATCTGTTTAATCTTGAGTGAAACAGTTTACTGTATCTATTTCCAGGCCTCTAATTTAATGTAGGATTAATTATCAAAATGAATTCTGCAATAGGTTACAACTTGGGTTAATTTTATCTTTGACCGTTTATTGTTATCAGCGGATATCAAAAGGCGATAGACTAATATTTTTTTTTAGAATTAAAAAAAATAGATGTAATTATGATGGGTTATAAAATGTTTTAATATGTAATATATTATAACATTAAAGAATATAGAATATTTAATAGTTGACCGTTGCATTATAAAAAAAGGAGATGGTCCGGGGTTGCGGTCATAAATAGGCTAAATAGTGGTAAAACTATTTTATTGAAGCCTACGTTTGACCCGACTTTGCAGGTCTTCTTCAGGGCTAGATACAAAAGATGGCAGTTTGATAATAAGAATTGTGGCAGTTACATAATATTTTAGACAAAATTTATAAACAATGTGAATAAGCTTATTAAAATTATAAACAGTAAGTACATTCAAATATGAACAAAGTAAGCTAAGTAACAAGATCCTAAACTGAAGTAAATAGATGCTAACAATTGTTGTAGTGTAATATATAATAAATGCAAATGTATTGTGTATTGTATACAAATGTATAAATGCAAATCCATTTGCATTTATTATATATTACACTACAACAATTGTTAGCATCTATTTACTTCAGTTTAGGATCTTGTTACTTAGCTTACTTTGTTCATATTTGAATGTACTTACTGTTTATAATTTTAATAAGCTTATTCACATTGTTTATAAATTTTGTCTAAATATTATGTAACTGCCACAATTCTCTATCTTTTGTATCTTGTCCGTTCTAGCCCTGAAGAAGACCTGCAAAGTCGGGTCGAAACGTAGGCTTTCAATAAAATAGTTTTACCACTATTTAGCCTATTTATGACGCAACCCCGGACCATCTCCTTCCTTTATTAAAGAATATAATAAATTATATTCTTTAAACAAATAAATGCACAAATTAGCATTGACCACAAATCAAATTCGGACCTGTAAAAAAAGCATAACAGTTATAAATTATTATTATTATTAGATGGTGTTACCACCCACTTATTTTGAGTCAATATCTGCCCTATTATAGATCGCCATTCCTCTCTTTCCTATCGCTACCTCCCAGTTCTGGGTACCAAGCGAGGACCTTGTCTCTGTAGCCAGTCCATCCTCTCAGTGAAGCTTAGGGCGTCCAACTTTTCTTATTCCATGTACATGCTCTGATAAGACATTATGTGGAATCTCATTGGTTCCATCCTAGCAATATGGCCCGCCCAACGAAGCCTTGATAACTTTATTAAGGTGCATATATCAACATCTCCATTTTTTTTCTGTTGGCATTACAGACCATGTAGATCTTTTGACAGAACAAGCCTGCTCCATCTCTGCCTATCTTGGACTATTTCTTTCCATTTATCTGCACGCATCTCTGTTGCATGTTTATTGATTCTTTCTATCCATCTGCTTTTTGTCCTTCCATGTGGTCTTTTGCCTTCTATTGAGGCATTCATTGTTATGAGAGACTTCCAGATGGATTGCTACAAGCTACATGCCCCGACCATCTTAACATCTGTGCCTTCATATCATGGGATATTGATTGACCAGTTTCTGTAAGCAGTTCCTTATTAGTCTTTCTTCTCCATGTGTTAGTGCTCTGATCCCAGATCACTCCGGTTATCGTGGTGAGAATTTTCCTCTCAAATCTTTCAACACTTTTTTCTAGGGTGCTGGTTAGTGTCCAAGTCTCACAGCCATATATTAGAACTGGCTTTATCATAGCATTGTACACCCTTAGTTTGAGATTTTTTGGGAAAAAAAACTCTGCGCTAGTTATACGCTGATCTATTTCTGTCTGTTGGTCATTCATTGAGGTGCCGTTGTGGAGCCGAGGTATTTGAATTTTTCTACTCTCAGGAATGATTTTCCTTTTATGCAGATCCTGTTATTGGGGTGGAATTTTCGGCTTGTTATCATATATTTTGTTTTGTCTCCATTTACTTTTAGGCCGAGCTGCTCTGCCTCTCTTATCAGTGTTACAATAACAAGTGAAATACTCCTTCGATTCCATGAGCTTTAACATCCTCTCACATATTAATGTGTTTACATAAGGTACATAGGAAATTTAATGTTCTTTCAAACTGATTATTGTGAATTTCTTCGAGAGATACCTGGATTTTTATTTTTTGGAGGAAAACCGATGAAAACAGATATTTCTTCTGAAATAAGCATACACTCAATATTCTCTAACTCCTCACGAGTTGGACCTGCATCAAAAACCTATGTATAAAATTAATAGTAAATTTTATCTTCTTTAACTTTATATATAATGATAATTTTGATTAAATGCATCTTTTCGGAGTCATGTCCAAAAAAACCAGATGTGGTACATAAATTTCGCTGTTTTTTGCATATATCTCGGAACGTAAGGGAAATTTTATTTGGGAACATCAAATTCATATTTAGCATCCCAAAATGCATAAAATACCAAATAGAAACCGACTATTGGAATTTTTCCCTCATCTAATTACCTTCTGACTGTCCTTATTTGATGACTTTGATGCGTCAGTTTTCCAAAAGCAACAGAGTACATCGTCAGTTAAGGTGAATTCTTTTTTAGGGATATATTTTTGACATATCAAAATTTCACCTCTTTAATTTAAATTTTCATATATAAAGCAACGGCTTTCATGTGACTGACTGGAGTTGTGTATTCATTTGAGGATTATCGATAATTTAAAATGGTTTCTAGCTGTAAGTCCTTCTGTTAAATGAAAACAGCGATAGCTCCTAGTCTAAAAGAAAGGTTGAAACATTGATACTTCCCTCTAAGTTGCCATGTAAATTCAAATTTAAAGTAAGTATTGATTAAATAGATTATAAGAATTCTGATTTTTTCTTTGTTGTTTTTTTTTCTAATTCTGTATGATTTATTAATAGATGATTATTTAAGAAATATAATTTGATTACCTGCAGTTAAAAGATTTAAACTTTATTAATTTTTTTTAATATAGCAAAGAAATCTGAATTAGAAGTTTATTTCATTACTAAAGAGATTCAGTTTTAACCAGTGTCTCCATGGTCTTAATTCTAGTTATGAAAAAAAATTGTAGATTGCAAAAATTGCTTTTATTTTTATAGTAATCACAAACATGTATCAAGTATTAAAAGAAGATTTTAAAAACTGTGTATATTACTTGCTTAATAAATACATTTTTTTTTGCTTTCTTTGTTTATTATTTTTTATAATTTTTTTAAAATCATTGTTTTTATTTTTTTAATATAGCAAAGGAACCTAAAGCAGAAGTTTATTTCCCTACTGAAGAGATTTCGTGTTAATGAGGACCTCCATGGTCTGGATCCTGATCGTGAAAAAGCTGGTATTTTTAAAATGAGATAAATATGTTCTTATTTTTAAAATAATAATTTCTAATTTATTAATTAACATCTTGATAAAAATCTAATAATTTAAGTATTAATTATTATAATACGTTAATATTTAGTACTGAAATCCATCAATGAACTTATGTTAAATCTATTAGTGAACATACCGAAGTTATTTTATTAAATTTTATAATTATTCTTAGTGTTAATAATTGTTTTAAATTAGAAATGTTTGTATATATTTTTTTATAAACCTTTAATAGTTATAAGCAGTTTCTTTTTAGATTTTTTTTGCTTATTTTCTGTCCTGAGTAGTAGCTTTCCGTTGTGTCTCTTTTGAGCTTTTACTTCCTTTAGAATATTTATTTAACATCTCATATGAGTAACTCAATGAGCAAAAGTTTATTATTAAATATTTAGCTGTTATATTTGGGTTGAAACTTTTCTGGAATGGGCTTTGCATCAAAACTAATGCCTGTCTTCCTAAAATTTTATGACTTATTTTTAAGCTTTGTAGTACTGCAACTGTTAGCTTGTAGCCTGGAAACACTGATGTTAGCATGGAGTGACGAAGGTATTTATTAATTACATCTACTTCCTCTGTTCTCAGAGATTTTGAGACCAAAAACAAACTATCAGTTCTGGCTTATAAAAGAACTTATAGCATCACCCTTTCTATCTTTCTTTGTGCAGAGAGAATAATTCATTCAATATTAAAATTTCCTATTTATTTATGATATAGTCCAACTTCCGCACAAAATAAAGGAAATAAAAATTAATTTTTTAATTAGTGATTTATGAGTTTTACTAAACAACCCGGTAGCTATTCATTATATATAGTTCAGATTAGGTATATATTATTTTAGTTTATAAAACAGGTATTAATATGACTCATTTCCTGGGAAGTATGTAAAAATTTTAATTACTTCTAAGAATCAGTAAATATACAAAACACAGTGTTAAATTGCAAACGTTAAATTAAAAAAATCAAGATATTCTTTAATTACGTTTTATTATTATAATTATATGATTTTTACGATTAAGGTCTTCTTAAAAGACCTATGAGATGTTTTGTTTCAGCACTTTTTGCGTTATTGTAGGCCGCTTAATTACAAACGACGCTTGATTTGTAACTTGGAATTTTTTTTGTTAAAAAAATTGATTTTACTGGTGTTTTTCATAGCCTAAGCCAATTATTTTTTAATATTTCTTCATGTTTTATTATTCTATGACTATTCAGCTTTAATAAAAGAACAACTATGAGAAAATTAAGCCAAATGCTGATTCTCAGTTACCAAAAAACTACCTAAAGTCAAAGTTGTCAATCCGCCATTTTGGGGCAGTGTGTTCACTTTTTTTGTGGGAACATTGGCTTTTTTTTAATAAATAGTTACAAGGAACACAACGATATGCAATTTATAGGGATGTGGTGCACGGTAAGCGGGTCTGGCCCACTGTGTAATGAAGCTATCTAGTTAGAGAAGGTTTTTTTTTTCATCTTGAGGTTGACCTTCCAGCCTAAGTTATGTATGTTTACCTTGATAGATTTAAATTCACATGCCCTTACTTCTAGACTTGGTTTTATTATTATATCATATTTATTCTAGATCATGTAGTCTTTTCCCCAAAACAATTGAATAATGTTTTGAGAAAAATACAGTATGCCCAAGAAATCCTTCATTAAATCTAAGATACTTGGATGTGGTTGAGGAAAACCGCTAAAACTAATCTCTTAAAACAAAGGGACATTTGATTAAAGTTTATCACCTTGTACCTTAGTAACTTAAGGTTCGTTTATTTTTAATCGAATTCATTAAATACTGAATTGGCATTTGCAAGCTGATTATGACATAAAATGTTATAATCAGTTTATTTTGATAATTTACAGTTTCCTTCTAGACATCCTACTGTGATGTGAAGGCCTTTAGAATTCAGGCAGTATCTGATTATTCTCTCTTTAATCTGAACACCCGTTGTGTGGACCATATCGGTAAATTTACAGGATATTTAGGTCTTCACATTTTTTTTTCTCTTGAGTTCAGCTTTTTATAAAGTCCTTTTTGCTCACTGTTTACCCTTTTTCTATGTTCTGCATATCTTTTTATACCATACTTAACAATGGAATAATTTAAACCTAATAAATTCCCAATCTCCCAGTATTACTTACCTTCACAACAATACAATTTTTTCATGGATCCCCACACACAACTCACTTGTCTTTGCCGTAACAATAGTCCAGTGGTGGATTTAAAATGGTTAGGAACTTTCTGAATGACTATCTAATAATTACGGGATAATTAAGGATTCTATTAAATTGGTGGTTAACAAAGTTTACAAAGAATTTCATTGTTTTTTAATCTTTGTTTAATTAACCTTAGAGGTTTTATATTTATATACGCATGGAATGTTTTCATTTTTAATCTACTTTTTACTTTTGTACAGTTAAATAGAGTTTTTATTTCATTACATTAAAAAATCTTATAACTGCAGGGTATGCAAGTACTTTTTGCCACCACTGTATGTATGTGTATATATATATATATATATATATATATATATATATATATATATATATTTGTTAATGTCTATATATATATACTGTATGAACATTTTTGTTGCAAATGCACCTCCTAGTCTATGGTTCACTGATCTTGATACACCCAGTTTATAAATTCAACTGTATATGTATATCTATATCATGTATTTTGATATCCTATTCATTTCCTGAAGATACATTAGTTTGGACCTATAATTTTGTGGGTATAGAGCTACATCTGTTAGAAGAGAACAATGGAAACCATTTTGCGCAAATGAAGACTGTAGTAAGAAGATACTACATTAGTTATTATATCATCTTGTTTTGTATCAGGTTAACTAGTTTTGTTCCTGGTAGCTCTTCGTTTGAGATGATGGGTATTACTTCTTAAAAGATTTTGATGAGCTCACTACCCTCATATATATGAGTAGTTCTGTATGGAATCCATTGGTACCGACTATTCCATTGTTTTTTAGCTTCTTCATTTTAGGGTTTGAAATCAATATGTAGGATTATTTGATATATTTCAGATGTTTCACCTTCTTTATCTGCCTCCTTATAATTGGGAAAGCCAGAAAAATGTTTTTTCCACTGATCAACACTTTCATTGTGTTCGTAGAATTAGCCAAGGTTGTGATGGCCAAACACGTTGAAGCATTATCTGTTTTACCATTCTCATATCTAGTGACGTCGGTTTGAATCCAGTCTGAACCTTTAGAATTCTAGAACCTGTAGAAGATAGAAAAATAAATAGTGTTTAAAAAAACTCTTTTTCACTACTATGATACTCTTTTTTTTCTTCTAAATTATGTAGAAGCACTAAATTCCCCGCATGTTCTTTAAGATTTTCTGCATCAATTTCTGTGAATAATTAGAAAACATAAACCACACTTACAGTAAATTAAGGTGTGTGAGTGTTGGTGTGAATGGATTCCAAAGATAACCTCCAATTTCATTTTATGAAAATACCTCGTTTACGGGTCCATATTTCTTTTTAAAAGTTTATATTTATATATTTTTAACCATTCACAAAACATCTAGATGAGCAATTTGAAAATCAGATATTTTTTATAGTTGATTTTTTTTTTAACCATTCTCTAAACTACTTCTAGACGACCAATTTGAAAATCAAATGTAACCACTTTACAGTTAAAAGGTTACTGAAAGCAACTGTCACTGACGAGATTTGAAAAAGTCCATCTCTACCAAGTACAACCCTCAAGAATAGGAAGAGATAGGTAACACAGAGCATTCTTTCCAAAGGATCACCCTTCTGTGGGGAAAAAACACAACTTCCTTCCAGAAGGACCATCCACAATGAGAATGTTAAATACATTAAAACATATTTATCTTGTAGGAAAAGCATATGCTATGTCTTGTCATTTGTCATTTTTTAAAACCATCTTAAGAAGGCACCAAAGACATAATTTTCTTAGAAATTAAGATAAAGCCACTTTGCTTGGATCAATATAAATCCTTAAGAATAATAATGGAATGAGAACAGGCTAAGAATATGGGAAAGAAGGGTATTGCGGAAGACTGTGCGAAAGGAAAATGAATATAGGATAACAACTGACTTTGAGTTGAAAAAGCTAAACTCCAAAGCGGACATAGTGCAAATTATTAAAAAAAAAGAAGGCTGGGCTGACTTGGGCATGTGAAAAGGATGCCTTCATCGAGATTACCCAGACAAATGTTGTATGGTCACCCCGGATGGTCTCGAAGGAGAGGTAAGCCTCGCAAACGATGACTGGATGATATAAAAGAGGACCTAAAACAGCTAAACGTTAAACATTGGCACACCAAGACTATGGATAAAGCAGAGTAGAGCTGGATATTGGAGGAGGCTTGGGTTCTTAATGGGCCATAACGTCATGCAGTGAGTGAGTGAATAATGGAATGATATTAGTCTTCTTCAGTTTTAGTTGGTCCTTATAGAAAGAGTTAGAGAGTTGGTAGAAATTAGAAAAGTAATTTGTTTCGATAACTTTGATAAGATTAATGCCACAAATGTCTGGTTTTGACAGTTTTGTTCATCTCAGTTTAATATGGTAAAGTACCAGTTGGAAACTAAACTACTTAATTCCATTTTGAAATTATTAAATTGGCTAATTATCAATTAGTAACTAAACTGATAACAATCAAAATGATAAAGTGTATTGAGTTCATGAAGATTTGATTTAACAATGTAGAAAATTTAAATAACCATATTTCATTATTTTCAGTAAATAAACACTAACCAATATTCTAGAAAAGATTTATTTTCCTCATCATTATTTGCTTAATCTCTTCTGTAAATTAATCTTTCTAAAATTTTCACTCATTTCATAATGCAAACTAGGTGTGGTTACTTTGGTAAAGTAAGGAAAGATAAATCAAGACTTGTGTTATTATTTCTTTGAAAAATAATGAATACACTATGGAATGTAAGATTTCACTAATATGTATTCTTAAATAATGAATATACTGTTGTTTTAAAAATAAATGTAACTAACTTACAAGATGTTAATGACTAATGAAAATACCTTCTCTATGAATAACGCACTATCTTGTTGCATGATCAAGCATGAATTCTTCTATCCAGTGAAGGCATGGCTGCTTTTCAAATCTTTTATAGAACTTCCATACTTCTGATTAAATATTCTTCATATTTTTATACATGATTTTCGTTTGTATTACAGTGAAACTTCCCATTGCGGACACTTTCCTGAAGCAGACAAATTTTTAATTCCTATCTGATTTCAATAATTTTATAGTGCTAATTACTTCAATATAATGGACATGGACAGACTTGAAATAATGATTTTAATTAAAAAATTTCTCAATAATGGAGAGCAAGAAGCCAAGGAAGCTCTTTTTCCGAGAATGTTTACCCAATTTATAGTATCTTAGTTCAATTATGTATACTGAGAACTCTGCTTTGGAATTGGTGTTACAGTTTTAACTTTTGTTGTTCTAAAGATTTTGCGTCGACACTTCTGGTTAACTTTGAAGAAAACATTTGTTAGTCATGAGAAAAGACTAGTTTTCACAATTCAGCTACTCGATTCAAAATTCAAAAACACAGATTTGTGAAATTTTAAAGAAAAAAAAGAATTATTTGAAAAATGGGCCTCATACGAAAACGTAAATAAAAAAAATTTCTAGAACATCCGCTTTTGTCTTAGAAAAAGTAACATATTAATAGTTAGCCAAGCTAACTGCTTTAACCTCCCAGCATTCAGGCTGCCATTTCAAACACGTTTATTCACAATGCACCTGTGAGGTGGCATAACGTTTTCGTGGTCTCTTGTGTTTTTTAAGTGAACTTAGTTTGGCTTGAAATGATTAAAAGATTGTATAATAGCTCAATTAATTTTGATGATAAGTTATTTAAACTATTTTATTACACATTACATTTCAGAAATTGAGGACTCGCCAAATAATAAAGTCGGAAGAAGTTATATCACAAATTAGTGGTATGAAAAAAAAAATTCATTTTGATGAAAGACTGTGAATGACTTACAATGTTTTTATATATCCAAGCCAATTTGGAAAACCAAATAGTTAAACACTTAAAAGTTCAAATAAAAATTACACATTTACAAATACTAATCTAAGTTATTTGAAAAAAAAAATTTATGCAAGCTTACGATTTATATCAGCACTTTTATTCTTAAAGAAATAATAATATTCATTAAATGAAAAAAAAATTTCATTTATATGGCACATATTCTAAGTTTAATCCACCAATTTTTATTTTTTCAGCATATTTTACTTCCAGTTTCTCTATAGTGAACAAAAATAGATTCCCCATAGGTGTCAGCTAATGAGAAGTTTTACTGTGTATATTTATATATCATGGTTCTGGTGAATTGTTGTCTTTTTAATTATTATTTTATTTAGGTGGTGATATGGATCCTGCAGACATAGCAGATTTATTTGATGAGTTTGATTTAAGTGATTCAGGCCCAGAAGTGGATACATTAAGCATTACTTCTACACCAAAACCATCATTAAGACCTTTTTTCTCGTCATCTAGTCGGTCTCTCTTGCATGACTCTGTCAGTACGCCAGGTAATGTAGCTTGAGGTCTTATAATGGTATATTATTATTATATACCAGTGTTATTATTCTGGACCCTAGTTCTAACTTTCAACAGAAAAGGAAAGTTTACTTACGGCAGGTAGTGTCTTGGATTGGTAAAGAATTCTGTTTAGTTCTGTTTAGAATCTAGGCTTCTTAATGAAGAAAATATTTTTCATCACAGTTAAGGATATAGGAATACTAACTGATACAGAACTGTAATGGATAATTTATCAAAACTTGGAAAGGAATGAACTAATATCGAAGTTATGCCATTATCCAAAATTAAATATCTTATATTTAAAAAAATGATGGCAAGAAAGATCTTGTGAAGCCATGCTGGAATCTTTAGTCAAGCTTTGAAGTTTTGTGGTCTTGTTGGAGTGCCAGCACTAACAGAAGCGATTATCAAAAGGGAAATTTATTTTTAAACTTGAAAATGCAAAGGTTAATACTTCTCATTTATTGTCTATGTTTATTTTCTTTAAAAAGCATCTCAAATTGTGAATCTAATGTAGTTACTAGTTAGTACTTTTACCATGTATTTGTAAATTCTTTTTGTGATTAATGATCTTATGGAAATTAGAATGTATTTTTTTGGTATCTTGCTATCTAATCAATAGTTGCCTTAATCAAGACAATTGCATTGAATGACGTCTTTTGAATGTCTAAGCTAAAGAACTCTGTATACTAACTGAGATTGCATCACATAGCTCTTTTATAGGATGGCGTTGTAAAGTCATGAAGTCCTGGTCATGAATTATTTCAGTTTTCAAAAGTTTAATTAATTACATATATATTTGACTCTTGCTAATCTGACCTAATTAAAACCAAGACGCTTCAAATCAAAAAGAGTTTTTGGATTATTAAATCACCCGGAAGAAAAGATAACTTCATTAGTGACAAGGCAGTTTGAAAACAACAATTGTGTATTAAACTTATTTTTACTAAGTCAATCATTGTTCAGAAGTTTTTTTTTAATAATTAACATCTTAAGAAATGTTCTGAGATTTTTTTTTTTTTTTTTTGAGAAGTTTAAAGTTAAAAATATTTGTTTAAGGTCTCTGACCACAATCCTTTATAAAATACTTCATTGATCAACAAAAAAATTTTTTAATTTGTTTTGTTCTTTTAATATCAGATAGTCGATTTATCATCATTAAATTATATTGTTAATTTTGTTCCAGGTTCTCCCCTCTGAAAATGATTTATTACATTTAGTTTTTATCGAGTTCAGATTAGCGAGAGTGTACTGAGTTTGTGTGTTTGTTTGTAACCTTTAATTTATTGCATATATGTGTGTGTGTGTATATATATATATATATATATATATATATATATACACACTATGTCCTGTATATACTCCACAATTGAAATATCTTGGAAACTGTTAGAGATATCACAAAATTGCAAAGAACTTAAGTTGTAGCTTTCTTTGATATCTTTCAGATGTGTAATTTATTAATATCTAAAATCTAGTTTTAAGGCTGAAGTGCTCACTTAAAGATCAGTGTTTTTTCTTTATCCCACATTTAACTATTCAAAAAATAAAGAAACATGTGTATTCTATTTTTTTTTGTTTCACATAATATTTTGCTATAAAATAGCAGTCAAAATCTCACCTATTTTCAATGCCTTACGAGAAAATTGATGTCTATGAACCTTAAACACAATGTTTTTGGATAATTTTTCTCACAGATTCCATTAAAAATAGCAACTACTTTCAGCAAATATTTTGCCAATGAATAAAGAATTTTCAATGTAAATATTCAGATTTTTTTAGTAATTAGTAGTTTTAAGTTCACTTACATTTCTACTAGTTAAAATTAAGAAAAAATGTTGAACTATTTTAGTGATAATTGAACTTCATCGTTTAAACTGACATATATCTCAAAATGAGGCAAGATAAGACATTGGTTTATTACAAATTACTCTAAAAATCTGAATATTTACATTAAAAATTCTTGATTTATTGGCAAAATATCTGAAAATTGTTGCTGAAAGTAGTTTCTAGAGTGTTCTAATCACTTAGAAACTACTTTTAATTAAATATAGAAATTTGTTTTTAAAAATCATGTTTTAGGTTTGTATATGTCAATTTTCCTGTTGTGGCATTGAAAATAGGTAAGGTTTTGACCTCCATTTTATGGAAAATACGAGATGAAAAAAAAAATAAGTGTCAAGATAAGTTCACAGTATTCTACCCTTTTAGTGTCAGTACTCAGTATTCCTTGACAATTTCAGCCTGGCATGTGTCACAAGCATTCCACGCTTATATGTTCATGTATTACATGATAAATCAGCAAACTTAATATAACATGCTAATCACAAATCACCATGTAATTATCACTGCCCATTGAAAATATCTTTTATTATTTCATTTTTTATTTTATGCATTGTTATATATTTTGTAATCCTTAAATTCAATCATATTTTAATTATTAAATTGTCTAGCTCATCAATAATTATTGCACTCTGGCTATAGTGGAGAAAGATACCTGAAAATTGACACAGGTGTTCCTAGCTGATTAGGAATAAATATTTTGATATGAAAGGAACATTTTTAAGTTTCTACCATTATCAATAATATTGCTTTATTAACTCTTTTTAACTATTTTTGTGGTAATTATCTGATTATTTTGTTCTATATCTATATCTATATCTATATTGTTTATCTTTTACAGAAAAATGGATACATGCTATTAATATTTTAAACAGCATTTCATTAACTAAAATATAGATGGTTAAACAGTTCATATTTTTCTTAAGTTTATAGTAGTAGTATTATTGTCTTTTTAATTAGTTGAGTGGGCCCAGTCCAAGCTGATCTCTGCATGTTGATAGAAAGTTGATTATTTTTACTGAGAAATAAATAACTCTGCATCCAATTCAAATTATTGACACTCAACTAATTTTTAAATAAATTAGTATCCATGATCTACCCTACAATAGCATTTATTTTTATTTATTTAATAGAAGAAAATTATGTGCATTTTTTATACAGTGCATTATATGTTCAGAAGTAATTGATTATTTATTTGTAGGTGGTGGTGGTGATGAGCACATGTGAACTTTCCTGGATTAATCAACAAGCAACATCTTTATCAAAGGCATTTTAAGATAAGGTAAAATTTGAATTTATATTTAAAATAAATGGTGATTTTCTTTTACAGTTTCCAGTAGAAATAGAATTAAAAATATTGATGGAAATTTTGTGGGGAAAAAAGTAAAAAATATTATAGGTTGATATAAATTGTTTCCAATCTCCTCCAAAACTTTCAAAAGTTTTAATTACTGAATCACTACTTTTGGGCAATGGATTTAAAAAAAAAAAAATGATCTATTTTTATGAACATAGGTTATATGTTCTTTTTGTTACTATTTTATTTTATAATTTTTTTAATGTTACTTTTTGTTTGATGTATAGATTATTTTATCTGGTAAACATTCAAAGTTCCTAAAATAAGTTTTGATATATACACATTTTAGATTTATATTAGTTTAATTACATAAGTTCCTATTTCTAAATTACATTTTAAAATCTTATCAAACTAAACAAAAGCCTATTTTGATGAAGGTAAACATTTAAATACTAATAACTAAAAAAGGATCTTATATAAGGAATAATAAGAAAATTTATTATTAACTTCGAGTGGCTGTGGATTTGGAACCTCAAACCCTAGAGAACAGCTCACAATCATTTAGCTAACAGCTCTATATAGACATCATAAGTTCATGAAAATTTCTTCCCAATCTCAGTAGTAATGGAGACGTTAATATTTCATTGTAAATGTTTTCATCACTACCACTCCATACATTTTAGTGTGATGAAAGCTGTATGTTTTCTTTTTTGATTGGTTATAATGTATTGACACTCCACAGTTGTCACAATGATTTGGGCACTCTATATTAAATTATTGGAAATTACTTTCCTTGTGTCATTATACAGAATGTTTCAGGGTTAAGTGCTCTAACTGAAAATAAGAATTAAGGATCTCAAAACAAGTTACAAAATCACTTTGAAGGTAGGTCTGTTAACGCTGTGTTGAGGAAATATTAGATAAATAAGATAGAATACTGACGACACCTTGTTTCACTAAGTTTACATAAAATATTGTCAATCTAAGGAGTAATACTATTTGTTATTAGCACTAGAAACCTTCAATAACATTTATTAGTTTGATGCTTTTGCAGAATATTCATTATTATGCTTGGCATTTATACTAATGACGAATATGCCAATATGTTGGTTGTTTACAGTTTTTGACAATGCTAATGCTTTTGGTCTTAATTATTCTGGGTTATTTTCAAATAAAAGATTAGCAAACAAATTTCACGTTTCAATGTCGTAGAAAAACAATAACACATATCAAGTACCATTTGGCTACTGTTACTGTGCAACAAAGTTGATGAGCCCGTCTTAATGCTCAAGGTAATCAGTTTGAATAAGTATTAATATAAATGTTAATAGTTCACCTTTTATTAATAAAGTAGTTGGAACACATATTAGTTTATTTACTATAACCTAAATAATTCACAAAAAAGAAAATCTTTAAATATGAATACTTCCTAAACAAAATGTTAAGAGACATACCTTCAAAGGAAATTTATTTCTTGTTTTGAAATCCTAATTCATATTTTCAGGTAGAACACTTAACCCTGAAACAACCTGTATACATTGGCATTGTATTTTATATCCCCCCTCCAAGTACGAGAGGTAGCTGGCTGTAATATAAAGATCAAACTCTTTATCAGGTGATTTTATGTTCTTGAAACCATCGCCCTTTTGTTTAGAATGTATTTGTTTTGTTTTCGTGCAAAAACGGATTTTTCAATTATTTTCTTTAAAACTTGAATAATTGGTCTATTAAAATGCACCATAGATCATGTAATATGTCTCAAATAAAAAAACAATCAGGATTTTTTACTATTGACAGTCTATTTTATTTTAAAAACTTTATTTGTTGAGAAGCTTTCGGTGTCCGTGCACCATATTAATCTCTATA